AATAAAAGTCACATATAAAAAGAGTTAAAAAAAATAACAAAATGTTTAATTCCCCACCCCCACGTTTACGCAGATATAAACGTAAATACGCGTCCGGTGCACCAGTGCGCGAAAACGACAATTGCGCTACACACGTTACATATCACCGCGAACGTCACAGTGAGAGCAATCATTTTAGGGCCATCAATCACTGATGACACTAAACTGATGAGCGGTAAAAGCTTTTAAAGCATCGCCTATGGCCATTTTTTTCGGGTATTATCGTTTTTTGAGGTTTCGCGCACGCACGCAATTTTAAGGCTTGACATGTTTGGTGTCTTTTTACCTGACATGACCTAGTCTTTTATATTTTACCAAAAAATTGGGTAAAAATAAATGTTATGGAATATAACATGGGTGCAAAAATGGAAAAAAGGGCCTCAGTCATGAAGGGGTTAATATAGGGAAACAGTTTTTTGGGGGGTAATTTTTCCTTAATATAGTAACAAATAAAACCCCCAGTGGTGATTAAATACCACCAAAAGAAAGCTCTATCTGTCCCTAAAAAATGGTATAAAATTGATTTCAGTACAGCGTTGCATGACGGAATAAATGTCAGTCAAAGCACCGCAGTGCTGAATACTGAAAAATGGCCTGGATGGGAAGGGGGTTAACACCGCGGACTTCAAGTGTTTAAGAAGACTCTGTCATGGGGAAAAAAAAACACACTGTTGCATGATTAATGTGCAAGAGATGCCTGCACATATCTGCAGCAACTTCCAAAATCCTGCTCTTACAGCTAAATACTGAGCAGTTCTGACCTTACCTGCTATTTAGCCCCAACAACAAGGGCTGCTGAAGGTATGTGTCTCTAGGTACCTGAACTTTGTACCTGCAACAGGTTTGTTTTTTTTTTTTTTCATTTGGTCTCTTTAATGCATAAACCTACAAACGAAAATGTAATATATTGCAGCTCTATTAGTTTGCTGTTTTCAGACTTTTCCCCCTTTATTTTCATCTGTTAATCTTCCAACTAACACACTTTGGTTTTTCTTTGTGGCTACACTCATTTCTCCACTGTCTCTATGGAAGGACCCATGGTTGTCAACACAAGCTGGACTTCAAAAATGTCTGGGACTAGTAGCCTACACAAGAAAGTTAAGGTACTTTTCAGATCACAGGAGGTGGCAAGGACATTGTATTTCTGAAAAGATCAACAGGTATTTTCTGTACTTTTTAAAAATGCTTTTTGCCTAAAAAAAGGAACCTAAAGCAGTCAACACATCTAAGGGCTTGGTCACACCAATTACAGTGCATTCCAGACTGGTTATCTGCTGTAACGCACTGTATCACACTAGACTCCCACCTAAATTTCCCCTCACGTTCTGTGGCAGGAGGGGGCGTGGTGGGGCATTCAAGTCAATGGCACCGCAGCCACACACCCCACCCGCAGTGTGATTGCCCACACCAAAACGCATGGCAACACAATGCCTGCGTTCCGGTCCAGTGCGATCGCGCTATTGCACTGGACTGGAATGCAGGCATTGTTTGTGCAGGCGATCACACTGCAGGCAAGGGCGTGGCTGTGGTGCCATTGACTTGAATGCACCGCCACACCCCCTCCCGCCCCAGAGCTCAGGGGGAGTTTAGTGTGCGATACAGTGCGTGCCAGCAGCTAGGCGCTCTAGAACGCACTGTAATTGGTGTGAACAAGCCCTCTGTAATGGTAGGCTGCAACATAGTACATCTGGGTTTAAATATGCATTAGCCTTAAAAGATCAAAAGTGCTTTAAGCAAATTTAATCTAACATGCAGAACAATAGATATCTTGTGCTTGATCAATACAGGCAATCAGTGCCATTTCTAGAGACAAATCTTTAGCCTTGAGGTGCTCTTGGAAACCAAGAATATCTGTCAGGCTGTAACTGAGTTAAGCTTTTGAATCAGCCTCACTGTTTGGAATGGTAGTATGCAGCAGGGAAGCAGTAAGGTCACATATTTTCCAATGACTTAAGGGTCTGCGTTTTGATCAGTCTCGGAAATAGCAGTAAGACACTTTTAACTTCGGTTGTCCGTTATAAAAAGATAATATAATACTTTTTCTTATAGTTAGAAGTGTAGTGAAATCAGGAACATTGAACAATGTAATTTACCTTCATGGTTCATATCTGAAGGTTTTAATTTTAGAGTTTAGTGATCCTTTAAATACAGGTTTTTAGGACAAGCTACAATTTCACTATATGGAAACGTCATAATGATGAATACTTAGCAGCTGGAGTCAACGATTGTTAACCCTAATGCTGGTAAGAGATGGATTGGTATTTTAACCACTTCAGTGAAAAAAGAAGTTACCAGCTATGCAAATCATCCAGCAAATGGGTGGAAAAGCAAAGAATCAGCATGGAAGCGCTCTAAATAGCAGGCAAATCTAATTTGAGTAAGGGGTATGGCTTGTTTATTTAAAAAGCATGGTTTGTTGTGCAATGATCTGGCAGTAGTGAGAAATGAAAAGTATAAAGTGGTGGACATAAAGAACACCTGTACTGATATGCAGTTTTTCTTTCACAATTATTTCAGTATAATATATTGTCTAGGTCAAGAACTTGGTGGATGACAACGCTTCAGCAAGTTCTGATAATATGACCTAAAACCTAATCAGGTTACATTATCAGAACTTGCTGCATCACTATCATCCTTCAAGCTTGTAGCCAAGACCATATTTTGTAATAATACCTTACAAGTGAGCTTTATTATAGTAAAAAGAAAAAGAAAAAAGAAACCAAGACTTTGCAAACTTCCTAAAAATGCTGATATAGGGGCAACAATAGTTATCCGCCTTAATGCAGGAGGCAGGCCTTTAACTTGCTTGTCACTCAGTATCAGTGCCAGAACACCACTTCTTAACCTCATACTGCAGAGGAAAAAATTACTCAAATGTAAGGAGGGGTAAATTCTTCCCCCACCTCAAACAAGTGCATACAAAATAAAGGGTGGGCACAGGAAAAAGAAGGCAGGCTAAGGAAGGGGACCTCTTTTGAGTGACTTGGAACACTGTACATGCTTCTTGTCTATTCTATTATGATACCTGTAAAAACAGTATAGTGTGCATATGCTAAGTGCAGTGCTGGACAATAAAATCTCAGGAGTCTGTGGGCGATCTCAAGCAAGTTGGTAATTAAGAGAGAACCTGGTAATATCGGGTGATTCCTGAGTTTCCCGTGAGACTTGACCTAGTTACATAGTATTTGAGGTTGAATAAAGACACAGGTCCATCAAGTTCAACCTATTATGTGTATGTATGTGATTCTGCATGTGTATGCGTGTGTACGAGTCCCTGTGTGATCTTGTTTTTAAGGGTACCTATACCCCTGTATGTTGCGGTCTCCGAGGAAATTGTCAGAATGCTTGAATGATTCAACACTCTCAGCTGATACCAATGCTTGTGGCAGCGAGTTCCAGACACTAACCGCTCTAACTGAGAAGAAGCCCCTACGCCCATTGTGGTTAAATCTTTTCTAGGTGGTGGCCTCTAGTCCTTGTTATGGAGTTTATAGTAAAAAGTTTATTGCTGATGTTGCTATCCCCATTGAACATCTTGTACATCAAATGCATGTCCCCCTTAATCTCCTCACTTCCAGCGTGAACATGTTTAGATTTAGTAACCTTGTCTCATAGCTTTGGTCCTCCATCCCCTAATTAATGTATTGGTGACCAAAACTGGACCGCATACTCCAGATGAGGCCGAACCAGTGATCTATACCAGCGGTTGTCAACCTTTCGGACCTCATGGACCACTAAATTCATAATTTTAAATCCCGCGGACCACTAATATGAATTTTTAAAATATATTTATATATATTCTCATATTTTTTTGTTTCCTCATATACTGTGTTTCCCCGAAAATAAGACCTACCCCGAAAGTAAGACCTAGCACTATTTTTAAACATTCCTGTAATATAAGACCTACCCCGAAAAAAAGACCTTGTTTGGGGGTGGGGGCGGCCCAGAGAGCAACCAGAGTCATGAGGGTACTAACCTCTGCACAGCAGCAGTT